GAGCGGCGGCCGCCTGGGGCGCGAGTTCGACTCGTTCCTGCGCGAGCACGCCCCGCTGTACCCCGAGACCAGGGCCGCTGCCCTCGCCGACGCGAGGCAGCGCGTGGTCGTGGCCGTCGCGCGTGGCACTGCGGCGATGCTGCTCAGCAGCGCCGGGGCGCGTGCGAGGCCCTGGCCGTCCCCCGCCCAAGGACTGGGCCGCGGCCGGGCCCGCCGGTGAGCTGAGCCTCGCCTGCCCCCCCCCCTCTCTTCCGCTCCTCTTCCGCCTCTTTCTCCTTCCCCTCAGGCAGCGTTAATCAATTTAACTCCTCCCCCCGCGCCCCCCCCCTCTGCTCTCTGCGCTGCCTGCCTGCTCCCCCTCCCCCTCGTCCTGTGTCCCTCGTCCCTCCCTTCTCGTGCTCTCCTGTTTCTTCTGGCTCCGTGGCCTCCCTCGTTCCTCTCGGCCGTCCCCGTCCTCCATCTGGTCCGTCCCTCGTCCCCGTCTGCTTGCTGGGGGGCGCTGTGTTTAATTAATTTGAGGTGTCAGTTGTAGACTCCGCAGGGTGTCGCGGACATTGTCTGGAATGGCGCCAGGCCACGCTGGCCCGCTTGACCGGCAGGGTCGGCTTGCCCAACGCCAACGCCAGACGGCCTGCATCAGCAGCCGGGCAGTGGATCGGACGTGCAGTCTCGCCCCCTGCTTCTGCCTGCTGGCCCGCCTCTGTCTTCTCCTTTCTTGGCACGAGGAGGAGGACGAAGAGGAGGAGGCGGAGGAGGAGGAGGAGGAGGAGGGATGAGGATGAGGATGAGGATGAGGATGAGGATGCGGATGCGGATGAGGATGAGGATGAGGATGAGGATGAGGATGATGATGATGATGATGATGATGATGATGATGATGATGATGATGATGATGATGATGATGATGATGATGATGATGATGATGATGATGATGATGAATAAGGAGGAGGAGGAGGAGGAGGAGGGAGAAGGAGGAGGAAGAGAGGAGAAGGAGGAGGAGGAGGGAGGAGGAGGAGGAGGAGGAGGACGAAGAGGAGAGGAGGGGAGGAGGAGGAGGAGGAGGAGGAGGAGGAGGCGGAGGAGGAGGAGGAGGAGGAGGGAGAGGGAGGGGAGGGGAGGGGAGGGGGGGAGGGGAGGAGAGGAGAGGAGAGAGAGAGGAGAGGAAGGAGGAGGAGGAGGAGAAGGAAGAGGAAGGGAGGGAGGGAGGGAGGGAGGGAAGGAGGAGGGAAGGAGGGAGGGAGGGACGGAGGGAGGAGGAGGGGGAGGAGGAGGAGGAGGCAACGAGGATGCTCCCAGCTCGGTAGCCCGACTTGTTGACATCACCGGCAAGCTTGCGACCCCGATCAGAACGAACCAGTGGGGCAGCTTGAGACATGAGCTTTTTGCGTGCGTACCATCGGGCATCCGTGAAGATGTGGTCGACCTTCGTGGCATCAAGCAGCTGTGGGAAGTAGACGGCGTAGTACAGGGAGGATGGCCTGCTCGATCAGCGGCAGGCGCGGCTTAATCCCAACGATGAAAGAGATGATCGCGTAAATGCTGTCGCGGTCGCCCGAGAATCACGTAGCATCGTATGCACCGTTTGCGTCGATGGTGAGCTCGTCCAAGGTGCGCAGGAGGAGACTGGGAAAGATGCGGTCGATGGACGGGGCGGGGTAGTCCGAGCGGTTGAAACGCATCGGGAGGACGGTCACGGCCTCGAGCGCGGGGTCGAAGAGGGTCCTCCAAAACAGCTGCTGCTGGCGAATGTTGCTGTCGAGGTCGGGGCATGCATCCAGTGTTTGCAGCGGGAGAAAGGTCTCCGGCGGGCAATTGTCAGCGCAGAAGATGGCAATCGCAATGGATGTGCGCATGCGGTAGTTCATCTCCACCCATGTGCGGGTAAGCTCCCAGGTCTGCTGAAGCTTGCGGCATTGGTCGATGATGATGTAGCGTATAGGCAACAAGGGTTCGGGCGCTGTTCAGCGCTTCGCCACGGACCAGGTCCGCTTCGATACCACTGCGTACTTGAATGACTATTGTTGATTAGCACGGGGCCGTGCACGATGAGGTTCGAAGCGTCAATGTAGATGCTCGGCGCATGGTTCCTGCCGATATGGAAGCTCGGCGCGAGGCGCCAAGCGATGCGCATGGCGGCTGGCAGCGCAAGAAGCATCAGCAGGAATGGATGGCCGCTCGACCCTGGGTATGGCGGCGACAACGTTATCGGAAGGGTGGACATTCATGATGACCGTGGGCGCGCGCGTGACGGCGCGCAGGATCGCGAGCAGGTCGATGCGCCCAGGGGCGAGCTTGACGTGGGCAGAGCCGTGGACCTCCTGGAGCGTGAGCATGTACGTGCGCTTCATGTATTTGGCGGCGGCTTGTTTGCGGATGTAGTGCCTGCCCATGTAGCACATGCGGGCATGCGTGCTCCCTGTGACGATGGCGGTGGGCTCCGCAGCGGCATCGTGCTGCTGAAGGGCACGGAGATAGTTAGGAACGCCAAGTGGCTGACACCGCGTCAGCAAAGAGCGCCTGTAAGGAAACGAAGATACTGACGCGCTCGATGGACTGGTACTGCGGGTTGTTGAAGGCTTGCTCGTTCCACTGGAGGATGGATGGGTCGGCCTGGCCTCGGATGGTGATTTTGACGACGGGCGTGGAGTCGCAATGGATCTCTGCCTTGGTGCGGGAGGCTCTCCACCGTTGACGAGGGTAGCGCTTCTGCAAGAGCTGTAGGAGCTTCTTGGTCTGGACTTCTATTCTGATCTGCTTGGCGGACCTGTCAGGGTTGATGTAGATGTCAACTGGCTGGCCTGCGGTGTCAGTCGAAGTAAATCGCTCCCATTGGCCAGCTGCATTGCGCATTGCGCGCGAGAGAGCCAGAGCACGGGGCACTGCGACAGCATTGCCCCCTTGAACTGGCAGGGCGAAACCGCGGGCAGGTTCACCGTCTCCGGACAGTTCCACGTGATTTGACTGGAGGCTGGCCTCTACAATCCATCCCTGGAAGTCGCTGGGCACCGCGTTCGGAGCCAGGAGGCGCTGGCAGCCCACAACGACGAGCGTCGGGTCAGGCTGTCGGTCCCGCTCGGCAAGGCGGCTAAGGTCCGAGCGGTGTCTGCGCTTCGGCGAGGGCCAGTGTATCGCGCATCTGGCCGGTCTGTTGCCACATTCGCTGGTGTTCTGACGCTTGGCGGTCTTGTTCTCTACGAGTGCGAGCAACTTCGTCATGGAGTACATCCACTCGGCGTTCTGTAGCTGTAACTTGTTGCTGGGCGAGAAGGCGGAAACTCTCACGATATTCAGCGAAGAGCTATTCTACTTGTTCTTGAAATCGAGATGCGGCAGTGGCGACTTGGCGTTGCGTGCGTTCCCGTAGATCGACGTCAAGATCTTCGGGTATCCCAGGTAGAGGTCCATGTCGTTCTGGGTGTGCAGGGTGTGGTTCTTGTTCCGATCCAGGGGTAGCGTGTCCAGTGACTGGAGTGGCTGGCTCAGCATTGGGTCGAGAAGCGAAGGTCGGAGCCATATCGATATCACGTGCGAGTTGTTCGGCGGCTGCGGGCCCCAGCTGCTGCTCGATGAACTTGGCGTTGGCCCAGGGTTCAGCGGCGCCCTGAAGGGAATCATGGATAGCAAGGCCATGTGGTGGCCTCGCGGTCTCTTCCATGGCCACGGCGGGGGCTTCGGGCGCAGCACTTCCTCCTGATCTGGCTGATCTGCGAATTGGTGTTGGTGGTGGGCGTGCAGTGCACCGTCCTGCTGCTCGAGGTTGCCGCTGTGGAGCACCTGCGGTGCCTTGACAACTGAAGCCTGTGCTGCCACGGTGTTCCAGGAGTTCGCGTGCAGCGCGTCGGCCATCTCGGCGGGGCTCATCTCGTCTGTGCTGGCGGTCATCTTGGCGGCGATCATCACGGCGGGGCTCTTCGCGACGATGGTGGCGGTCGTCACGACGACTGCGGGATGTGGATCCGTGGGAGGTGTCGTCCCTGTCAGAAGAGGCGGCAAACATGATGTTGTAGTTCACGCAGGATGAGTAAGGAGACTGTTCGGGATGTCGTCACTGGCCAGGTCCGCCGTTATACCACTGCGTACTTATGTGTCTCTTGTGTGGCAAGATGCAGCACTCGGCAACGCGATATGGATGCAGGGTGCAGGACTCGGCGAGACGATATGGATGGTTGGCGCGAGGCTCGAAGCGATATGGAAGCTCGGGACAAAGCTCGAGGCGATATGTACGGCGGCCTGCAACGCCAGAGTGGAAAGCAGGAGTGGACGGCAGCTCGTCCCTGGGTGTGGCTGCAAAACTGTTGTGACTGGCCGCAGACTAGCGGTATCCACGCTGCGCTCGCGATGGCGTGCCATCTTGAGCCAAAATGGCTACGGAGGAAGAGGAGGAGGATGAGGAGGAGAGGAGGGAGGGGGAGGGGAGGAGGAGGAGGAAGGCCCCAGGGTCCAGGGCGCGCATCCCTCGGGGCCCCGCTTCCCCCCCAGGCTGAGCCTGTCGCTGCAGCCCCTGGGAGGCCTCGGGACACACCTCCTGAGGTCTCTCGAGGCCCCCAGGAGGCCTCCGCAGGCCCAGTGGGCCGCAAGAGCGGCCGAAAGCCTGATTACAGTAGGAGCTCGACCACAAGACACCTTCCACAAGAAGCCCAACCCTGAGACCCCAAGACGTCCATCGATTTTTGGTGTGGGAACGTCGCGCGTTCCATCGCAAAACCATCGGAACCCAAGAAACCCAGGGCACATTGGAGGCAAGCAGGGTGTTTCTTGGCATGACTGTAGACACTCAAACCTCGAGAATCGAGAACGACGACAGTGGCGGCGACGTCGCCGACGGCGACGACGCCTGGATGTCTGGCTTCGCCAGGAGCCAACGAGACGTATGCGTGTGGCTTCGAGCCGTGGCGGCGCGTCCCTGTCACGACGACGTCGATGACGTGGACGACGACGCCGACAACGGCGGCAGCGTGATGACGCGCCAGCGTCGTGACAGCGACGACGACGTCGCGCGC